GATGGCGTCAATAGCGCGCGCACGAGCGAGATGTGTGATATAACGCGCGCTCTGATTGGCTGAAATGCCTATGAACTATTTGCCCATGGGTCGCACGGTAGATTTTTGGTCATATTATAAATCAGTTAGACGACAAAAAAGCGCTCGCCCATGGCGATATAGACGCACTTGAGAAAATATAAAAAACTCTTAACAAGCTAGAGTGTCACTCGGCTTCGCCTCGTGCCACTCTTTCGCTTGTTAATCGTTCTTTATATTTTCTCTCGTGCGTGTATATCGCCATGGGCACGCGCTTTTTTGTCGTCTAACTGATAAATGGTACCCTTGTCGTAACATTATTAACACTATTCTATCTGTATACTGGTCTCTTGTATAGGCTGACCTTGATCTTTCTAGTCAGTGTTAATTGTCTGTTTAATGTTCCCGTGTCTCAGCTGACCTTGTSTTGTGAACGCTTACTGTAATACAAACTTGATCTCTGTTCTCGTCTGATCCCATCCATGAGTGGTTACAGCCTTGTAGACTTCCATCACAAGATTTGGAAAATATTCCAAGAACACAAAGTCTTCTAGTAGTTGCTTTCTGATTTGTGTTGGTCTTGTACTTTCAGAGATGTGTGCGTAGGCATTGCGTATGAAACGTACCAGTTCTACGACAGAGCGAGTATCGTATCTTTTTCTCTTTTTCGTCATTTCGGTGTAAATGGCAGGTATGTGTGCATAACCTGGGTCATTCCAATCCCCATACTTGACTATGGTGCCAAAGCTTGTCTCCAAGTCAGTCTCTACTACAGTTAAAGGAAGAGTCCTCTTTGCACGTGGGCATTCAAATTCTGGTTGATTGCCAACAGCTACGAGCAGGTCTAGCTTTTTCTTCTTTGACCAGAAAAAGGAATGATGCAATACTTTATCTGCAGAAGATCGTTTACTTTCATCTCGATCAAGCATTGCTTTAAGGAGATGAGCTGCTTCAGGGCACAGAGAGTCATCCCATCCTTCCATGTTGCCATTCAATATGTTGACTTCAATCTCGTGTTGTAGTGCCCCTATTCGGGGGGAGAATGGATGTTTTTTGACTGACAAAATGTAATGAAGAACAAGACCACATGCAAACACATCAGATGAATTGGAATGAACTTTTGTAGACGTTAGCACTTCTGGAGCAATCCAGCACCTGGTTCCAGCATTAGGACCATACACTGAGGTGCTTGAACCAGTGTTATCCATACGACGGCTGAGACCAAAGTCAGCAATTTTCAAGCATAGTTTAGGAGTCATTTTATAAAGAATGTTGGTTGGCTTAAGATCTCGATGAAGGATGCTTTGATCATGTAGAAATTTCAGTCCTTGAACTATATCTTGGCAAAGCGAGACTTTAGTTTCCATTTGTATTGCAGTAATAAGGAACTGGTCAAGATTTCCCTCCATCAGTTCTAAAACAATGTAAGAAAAGTGTTTATCTTCAAAGAAGTGTAAATAAAAAACGACTTGTTCGCAGTTTGCAAGAGCAGTGAGAGTTGTTATTTCTCGTTTGTCTTCTGGTCGTTGCATACGTATCTTCTCAATACGTTTGATGGCCACCTCTCTTCCATCTTTCTCGTTGATTCCTGCAAATACAACACCAAATGAACCGCTAGCCAAATGGTCTTTGTGGTACCAGTATGATTCCACATTTTCACTTTCAAGATGCCTTGCTGCATAAGCTAGACAGCGTTCATGCGTCTTGGAAACCGATTTCCAGGGTTTAATGAGCACTGGGAATCTATCAAGATCAATAGGCTCCATCAAAAGATCTTTGAGTACAGGATACTCCTTTGCTATGTCCAAGCATGACTGACCACTCGCATCATGGATTCTGTAATCGGCTCCAAATGAAAGTAGCACTGTAGCCATATTCCAATGAACGGTCGTTTTGACCTCTTCAAAAGATAAAGGTATCTTTGCTTCTACGATATTCCTGCAGCAATAATGAAGCGGAGAATCTTCATTATCATTTCCATTTACTGGGCATTTAGTCGAACTCAGAATCATTTCAGCGGCATCTTTTTTCCAGTGTGCATTAGGTAATTTGTCTTTACAAATCGTTGTCAAAAGAGAAAAGAACACCAAGGAAGTAGCTGGGCTGTTCTTGTCACAAGCAGCATCTACAAGAGCTCTAGCAAGGTCATGGGAGTCGGATTTTAGGAGTACGCTCAAAACAGATTCACCGTGTATGTCAACAGTCCATGGATTAAGGCCTTTCTTAAGGGTAGTTCTCCAGAACTCAGTATCAGAAGCAAGGAAAATGTCAGGATACAGTGAACCTTGATTACAAACACAATCGTTATTTGTCGCTGCAACTAGAAGAGGAGAACGTCCTGATGAATCCACATCGTTTGGGTTCGCTCCAGCATCGAGCAAAAATTCAACAGCAGCCCACGTTCTACAGAGATGTAGAGGTGTTTCGCCATCTCCATTTTTGACATGCAACATTTTGTATTCTTTGAAATAATCCAAAATCATTGTCAAAAGTCCTTGAAAGGAGGTTTGCCCTTCAGTAATTTTGCTTTTGTAATCCTGTCCTGGTGCTAATTGGAGCTTTGCCCAAAGATGAAGTGGTGTGTTTCCACTGTTATCTTGGGTATTGATAGAAACTTCTTTTCTTTTGAATGCGTCAACAAATAATTTCAGTAGGTCTACGGCAACCTCAGAAATGTCTTTTCTCAATTCACTATTGCGTTTGAAAAAGGCATTTTGGAGAAGTTTTATGGTTAACTGCAAGACATTCTCTTCGCTTCTATTTCTTGCTTCAACACTGGATCCATGTTCTACCAGGAATCGACAGACAGCTGCTTGTGTCTGGACAGCTGGCCAGGGTTCTTCCTCACTGGACATCTTCTCGATGGTCTTGGATAAACAATATAAAAGTGGCGTTTCGTTTTCGTGATTCGTTACGTGGAACGATGCTTTAAACTTCTCGACTAGCTGTTGACATATTTCCATTACAGTTTCTTGTGTCAAATCATGAAATGCTAGTTGAGTTGCATGGTGAAGAGCAGTGTTGCCATCTGAATCTGTGGTGTTAGGGTTGGCACCCAATTTGATAAGACGTCGAGTCACCTCGAGTGCTGTTCCGGATTCAATCAGATGTTTATCGTGGCTTTCTTTATGGATCATTGTGGAGATCTCACTTATGGTTTTGATTTTCCCCGCAGAAAAATTGACTTGAAAAAGCTTAGAATTTGAAGCATTTTCATTTGCTATCCTCATTAGATGAGAAAGAGAATCCACGTCGATATCACGAGAACCAGGCTTCAAGTACAGCGTTTTACAGAATGCAACACTTGCTATAGCTCCCAAAATTATGTTTCTTTCCACTTCTTTGCAGTCAGACAGAAGATTGAGTCCATCTTGTATGTCTGGAGTTTTTTGTGATGAACAGAAGATGCATTTCTCAATAAAAAATGTCAAAACACTGCAATTCTCATTGAGATGTAAAGTGGCTTCTTTGTCAAGCAAATACCTCGCAAGTTGAAGTGATTGTGTCATAGCATAGAACAGTGGCGTTCTGCCATAACGATCTCTCACATCCACTTGAGCACCTCCATACCCTATGAGTATGCGTGCCCTGACACAGGGGTCATTAACACTGTTTACAAAAAACAAAGCAGTTTTACCCTCATTATCAGTAATGTTGACATCAGCATCAGCATCAATCATTGCACGAACCACACTTTCATTTTTTTTTTGAACAGCATAAAACAAAGCAGTTTTCCCCTCATCATTAGTTATGTTGACATCAGCACCAGCATCAATCAATGCACGAAAGATATTTTCATTGTTCCTTTGTTGAATAGCATAAAACAAAGGAGCTCTGCCAACGTTGACATCAGCACCACGCTGTATTAGTTTTTCGACCATTATTTCATTTTCTTTCTGCACAGCATAAAACAAAGCAGTTTTGCCAACTTTGTTCATTGCATTGACATCAGCACCACACTCGATTAGTTTTTCCACCATTTTTTCATTTTCTTTCTCTACAGCATCAAACAAAACAGTTTCGTCATTTTTATTGGTAACATTAACATCAGCACCACACTCGATTAGTTTTTGGACCAATTTTTCATTTACAGCATAAAACAAAGCAGTCGAGCCATCTTCATCGGTAGCATTAACATCAGCTCCACGCTTGATTAGTTTTTCCACTATTTTTTCATTTTCTT